TTTAATATTTTTTGGATAAAATTCATCATCCATATGAGTTCTAATCAGCAAAACGATTTAGCAAAGAAGAATCAACAAGTGTTATTTATGTCGATTATTCGTGGTCTTATAATTCTAAGAAAGAAATATAATTTAGCTAGCGTAACAAATCGATTAAGTAATTTTTTGATAAAAAATCCTCTTATTGTGTATATTGATATACATCTTCACTTGTTCTTGAATGAAATTTAATCGTTTCTGAGAAAACTATGAGTATTATTTATTTCATTTTTGCAACAAACCATCAGATGTTACTCAAAATTAGCTTACGGTATATCGAAATACAAAATAAAAGAATTTTTTAACCAAAGAAATTACTTAATCAATTTTTTGCCAATGCCAAATTGCATTTATTTCTACAATCATCAAGTCACAGATGAGTAGCTTCGAACCCTGATCATATCGTTCGAACACGAACGAATCGATATATGACCACGTAACGTTCGAAAAAATTTTCGAAAACCTAGTTGAATTCTGTCGAGAAAATGGAGGACCCATGAGCCAGTTCATAGAGACCGTCAGATGTTGCTCAATTTAAGATATGTTGTAGTGGGAAGAGTTTTATGAATTCTGACGCAAGTCGATTCAAAAACTATTGGTCCCTCGGTTTTTTATGAGCATGTTACGAAAAGGCCGAAAAATGACTCTATACATAAATGTGGGTCCTAATGTAACGATATCTCACGCATGACTCAACCAAATCAGCTGAGATTTTTTATTGGCATATATCTCAGTGAATTGTATTTACCATAAAATGTTTGCTTTAAAATATTGAGCCATTGGGATTTTATGAAGCACTCAATATATGGAAAAAGGTCCATTTTCGGTAACTTTGGCGCTTCATAACTTTTGATAGGAATGATATATGACTATGAAATTTTTGCTCTTAATAATTAGAACACTGAGAGATGTATCTCTTCTGAAAATTTCAGCTATCCGTACTGTTCCATTTGCTCAGAGAAACCCTGTGAAAAACGAAATTTTGATAAATATGGAGACTTTCAGGATAGGCTTTCTCCCAAGAAAAAGGACACTGCTAGTAATTTCGAAGTGCACTTGAGCAGATTTCACATAGAAAAGGCTCATTTTTTCGTATTTTGCAATGAGTGCTCTGGGGCCATTCTTGAAGATCCTACGCTAATTTTTTTACAGGATTGTAGCCCAAAGAGAGTACTTCAAAGTTCTAATAACCAACGCCCCAGACAATCTATTTCTTGGGAGAAAGCCTATCCTGAAAGTCCCCATATTTATCAAAATTATGTATAGAGTCATGTTTAGGCCTTTTCGTAAAATGCTCATAAAAAATGGAGAGATCAATATTTTTTGAATCGGGTTGCGTCAAAATTCATAAAACTCTTCCCTCTACAAAATATCTTAAATTGAGGAAAATATGACGATATCGATTGAGCAACTTGGGTGGTGGCTTACATGGACTGGCTCGTATAGGTAAATATCGATTACCTATTCTGTAAATATTTTTTACTTGAGCCATTATCCTGAAAGAATTGATGTAGGTACCTTCTCGGTAGCCTGTGGACACTGACCAAATTGCTAGCAAGACCGAATTGATTTTTCGCCATCTAAGTTTTGTTTTGATTTCATTATAGTTATTTTTATGTTTTCTTAGATATTATTGCTATTTAGTTCAAAAATAGATGCATGTTGAATAGCAATAAGAAACATAAATTTCTTAAATGTGAATTCAGTATGAAGTTAGTTCATTTTCAAATTTCCTTTCTCAAATGATTGGCGATTGATCAAATCTTGATTAAGCTTGCAAGGTTTGACAACAAATGATAAGTAAAAAGATGATTCAGTTATTATCAGTGATTGATATTTAGCGAAGAGTTTTCAGAGAATCCGTGAATGAAATGTAAAGTACTTGAGGATAGATTTTCATTTTTTTCTTAAAATTTTAGGTTTTCTCACCAACGTTCAGAGGAGTGGAAGAATTTTTTCCATTTAAATTTATCAGTTTCTTGAATGCTCCTTATAATATTGGTGAATATCAGAACAGAATTTTTAAAACATGTGTTAAGTGTCCATAGATCTGATAATTTTTCAAAGAAATATTTCAAAGAATATTCACAATGAATTGGTCTATAAATAAATGAAAATTAGAACAAAGTTTATTGTTTTATTACATAAAAACTTCTAGTGTCTCGATGATGAATGACAATATAAACGAATAAAGACTGTCAACAATTCCTTCCCCAGACGAGTTCAAGTTTCATGATTTTCTCAAGAATTTTTTCTTCATAAGCTAGTCCTCTACTGTTGAACGTCATTATTTTGGCACATAAATTTTCAATGTTTCTATTTTTGCTTCATTTTAATCTATTAAAATAACTAGAAATTAAGAAAAGACGCTGTAGTAAAATATTGACGAAATCCTTCTTAGTTTTGTAAGATAAAACGACATTAACTTTTCAGATAATATCATTGCATACCAAATAATCTTATTAATTACTACCTTGACGATAATATTGTCAATATTATTCTCTTTTCAATATTATCAAATCCTGATCTTTCTAACGTAGTTGTAATAGATTGGCTCCATTTGATCATCAATCTTGTCGAAAATCTCATATATATATTTATATAGGATAGCTCAAAAGTAACATGACAGAAAATTTTTTCGATTTTGTTTTTGGATGCAGCATATGATCATCAGTATCTAAATATAGTACTTTGTTTAAAAGCGTATATTTATAGAGCGGCCAAAAGTAAGAAAACAAGTCTGATTTCTAACAAAACGTTTATTAAAGTAATAGAACTAGAAAATGACACACACAATAATACGTATTTGTGAAGTATCGTTAATATCGAAGCTTTTGACAAAAATTTCTCAATATGTTCTTTCTATAAGTCTTTGGAATGAATTACAGTTGCTCGGGTACTGATCGACACGCTTGTCAACATAATTCTACTAGCAAGCTTCGTATTTATTTATACGCTTTTGGAACAATTACAACAGCTAGATACTGATCATATGCTGCATCTTTGAATTGTATCATCTAGTATCTGTGATATCAATATGAGATCTAACTGACTATGTTAAAAAAAAAAACACGAAAAAATAATTTGTCATATTACTTTTAGGCTATCCTGAATTCGTATATAGTTTATAAAACGATAGTAAAATCAATATATAAAATGGAAAATTATTTTTTTGGATCATAAGCCAAAATGAAATCAAAAAGTCATGATAATTGCATTGATCTAATATTCAATATTAGACGATAAATAGTTGGAAAAATATAATTTCTCTTGAGCAATTCGAAAATATAAAAGAAAATATTTTTTAAAATTATTTTATTGCATTTATTTTTATCTATTTCCAATTGTTAAAACTTATTTGAATCTATGATATTCACTTTATTTAGAAAATGTGTGGAAATATACAATACAATAGTATAAATCACATAAAAGTATATTACTTTGTTATTATTTTTATAAGTTTCGTCTCATTAATAGTTAGACAAAAAATTAGAAAAAATTTTTTTTATGCTGAAGAACAAATTTGACAATGCATTGAAATGTTTTACTTCTTATGCTTTCTTATTTGTCATAAATTACATACGTTTAAAATTCCTATATAAAAATGTCATGAAAAATATTTTTAAATGAAAATATAACCGTGATATATTAAAAGACTTTCTCATAAAAATATTAAATACTTCGATTCAAGTTAAAACAACATTAATTAACAATCGCAAATAAAGAATTGATTTTAGTCCATAGAAGATAGGATCTTATTTGATGTCTTAGCAATATTTCAATTAATCAATTGATGATTGATTTAAGATGAGAAATCATCTTATCCATGTTATTCTTTTCTATCATACTGACAGATGTTTGTTGATCTTAATAAAGAATGATCCCCTTAAAAAAGCATAATTAACTCATCTGAAAAGAATTGTTTTTTTTCCTTAGTTTATTTTTCTTTTCTCTGCTACTAAGCGTTTTTGATATGACAGATCAATTACATTTTGAAATTTAACCATTTTCTTTGTTTATATTTTAAAATGGATCATTTATTGTCTTTCAAATCAATATTCAATCTCTCATAGATTATAAGGCTATTTCTTTACGAATATTTTCGTTATTTGCAAGAAACATTATTAGATTAACTGAATAAAAATTCCTATTGTAAAAATTTTCTCAAAATGATAAAGATTTATTATTAACAAATAGAATGTGGTTTATGAATAAAAGTTGTTTTCATTGATAAATATATTAGATTAGAAAGATCGATCACATTAGGAGAAGCTTATTACAAATTTTCGGTGTTTATTTATTCAATTTATGAATAAAATTTTATCAATTTATTTTTCATAGTTAATTTAATAGATACATTTACTTTAATAAAAACAGTCAAAACTTGACAACAACAATATATAGAAACAAATCTTTTCAGAATTAAAATGTTATCGATTTATTTAAAATTATACATTATATGATTGAAAAACAACGCATAACAGTTATGGTTAAAAGTAAGACTAAGAGAAAGACACATTTCTTCAACTTTTTCTTTTTCTAAGCACTTTTTATGTTTTATGTTATATGTTTATCAACTAAACTTCATCATGTTATGTATCTTTTTTCTTTTTTTTTTTGTTGTCTTATTAGAATATATGTACGTCTTTACTTAGTGATGTAAAACAAGAGAAACAGTAATAAAAACGAGGGCACAACCCTCAGACATTTCTTTTTATTGTTTATCCGTCAGTTTGAATTGTATATATTTGTATATTAGACGACCGTTGTTGTATATTGAATCGTTAAAGAATAGATAGTGAAGAAATAATGACGAAGGAGAAAAAGAAATGATTCTTCTCTATAATTCTCTCTCTCTACTAATTTCTCTTCATATAAAATACAAGTGAATTGAATCTATTCACATTTATAATCTTTTCTTACAAATAGTTAGCATTAAAAAAAACCAACAAAACGTAACAATGGCTGTTGATACATTAAATCGTAACATGTCTTTTATTGCAACATTTTTTGTTTTTGTTGGTGTAATTCTTGGTGTTACTGCATTAACTACTAATTACTGGACAGAAATAGTAGTTGTTCGTACAGGAAATACATCTGGAGGAATATCAAATGAAGTATTACTTACAAATGAAAGTGTTGGTCTCAAATGGAATGTAAGTCATAATTCTTCAAAATCGATTAATAATAATAATTTTGTTTTTGTTTTATATTAGGGTCTTCTCTATTCTTGTTCAACTCTTGAAAATCCATTATGCGTATTTAATTTTGTAGGAACAGTATTTGTTCTTTGTTTATCTGGATTAATATTTTTATTAGTTAGTGGTATAGTTCTTTGTTGGGATATATTTAAAATAAGCGATAAAATATTTACTATTCCAATGTTACTTTTAATTGCTTGTGTATTAATGACAGCTGGAATTTTTGAATATGGTTCACAGACTATTTTGAATTCTCATTCATCACGAACAATGATTGCTGCTATTGTTTTTGTTTATTCAGCTTTACCTATATCAGCATTTATTGCTGGTCGATATTCAAATTTTGATTGTTTTGTTAACAATGGACAAAAATATGTAACAACTTCAACAAATGGAAATTAAGTTGTTTAATAGAAAACTTTATCATTTGTGTTCTTTTTGTTTTTTGTTTTTTTTTGTGATGTAGTTGTTAGTCTTTATCGTTTTGTTTTCTTGTGAAAATCTCATTGTCATTGAAGTTCTATGAAGGTAGCTATGAAAAATTATTCAATTGTTAATCAAATAAATAAACAAAAAAAAGAAATATTCAATTTTTTGCTCGAAATCTTTTTAAGAAATGTTTTATGAAATTATTGATTAGAAATTTAATTAATGCATCTAAATTCTCTTGTGAAAATGATATGAGATCTTTTAAAATGAATCTACAACTTTTGATAGAGAAGACTAAATATAATAGGTTTGATTTATAAGAATGGAAAGTCTACGGAAAACATTTCAATAAGTAATTGTTTTAGATTCAGATATGAAATAAAAGAACATCAACAAATAATTATAAATAATCAAGAATAATGAACACAAAATGCAAACTTCAATGTTAATCTATATGCTGTTTAAATATTAGAATAAATCAACTTTAACAGTTCAAATTTTGAAATGTCATAAAGCATAGCATTTATAGTTGAAAAAAAACATACCTTTACCTTTACACGTCGAGATTTATTCTATAAAGTATTTATTTTCGTAAAAAGATCTAAAAATCACTTTTCGAAACAGACAAAAAAACCAGTAAATGTGTATCCAACTGCTGTTTTTCTCTAAACTGCTTCTATATAGACAACTGTATTCATTCATATTAGCTTTGACACTAATAACTATGCTAGTGGTACATTTTACTGTGAACGAATTGCATCTATACTATTCAAAACTCACTACTTCTTCCTAGTGATTGCCTTCCATTTTTTTCATAGGACATTATCTGATTCTTTTGCCTTCTACGCATGCGGAGTAAGTGAAATAAATTTTCTCTACTAATGATGTATTATGTAAAAATGAATTGAAACCAAGAATTGTCGGTGAGATCATTGATTAAGTAAATTTTTAATATTCTTGCGTGTTGACTTTATCAAACAGTTCTTTCCGATATGGTTTTGATGTGATTTGATGATTAAGATGATTCATCATTAATGAATGTTGTTTAATATTAATAGGCATATTTAAAACGAGTGTTTTTAAGTATTCATCTTTTTGTTATACATTTCACTGATGTTATCGTAGGCAGTAGTCAAAATCAAGGATAGTTTAGTGAAAGGAGGTTTTTTTCTAATAAAAAAGAAGTAGCAAGAATTTTCAATTTAGTTTGAATAATTTCTTTTTGTAAAATGCAATAGTTTCAACATATTTTTCTAGTCGATTCTTAACTATATTGAGGATATAGTATAATAATGATTTTTGTTTCCTATCAATTATCTAATTAAGCTTGATTATATATAATTCTTTGACTTTGTTAAAGAGATGAAATGTTTATATTAATTTATTAAGTCAATGTCATTGTGTCAGTTTTATATTATCCTTTTGCGTTCAGTTAGACAAAGTATGACGTATCGAGTCCTTATCACTTATCGATGTCAGATTTACTTAACAAAGACAATTATTTTCATAAATTGGTTGAATATATCTGATATGAAAGATAGAATATATGACGAAAAGAATTTCTTGTTCTGCTATTTAATAACTAATATGATCGATGTTGGTTTAAGACATTGAGATTATTGAGAGGTTAGTGATCATTATGAAAAGAATACTCGTTAGGTCAAATGTTGCAATACCTTGATGAACAAAATCAAAAAGAAATATATTAAAATCTTTACTAGCGAATAAAAATATATTTTAAAGAAAAAAAAAGTACATTTTTTTGACGTTACTGATAGATCAAAGTCTTACTGAGCTCACTCCTGAGGATGATACACGATAGTAGAGTTCGAATGCTGATGACTAACGTATTTCTCATTATAAATTGAAGTAATTTGTAGATGAAGACTACATGAGAAGAAACCTATTTTAACAGTAAGATCGACATTTATGATATTTAATGTCTTAATAAATATTAATTAAAGATATTAATATTCAATATTTCATTCAATATATTGGAATACATGAATGATTGATCTAATTGATCGAGATTTTACTTTAAAGTTTCACTATCCTTGTTGACGAAACACAATGAGACCGAATTGCAATTAAATTCTTGTGCAATTTATTTAGACAATTTACAAATAGATTTAATATCTGTGAAGACAAATTTATAGAAATGAAATAAATTTAATGCATATTATGTACTAAAAGAACTGGTATTTGAGTGTTTTCAACAGAAAGGATAATAAAGATCTTTTCTTCTTGAATGTTGATGATAAAATTATTAGAATCATCGTCATCAATGGTTTTATTCGTCGTATTAATGACTTATTATAATTGGATGGTAATATTACGGTAATTATAACTGTTACTTTCATTAGTATTCTCGTTCAGCTAGACCAGAAAAAAACTCATATCGATATGATTATAGATCAATTATTAGGATTTCATGTTCATATGTTTCACTAGCACAACTTTAATTATTTGTTTTTTCATTTTTTACATCATGTGTGTCAATCAAGTATTAGAAAGAAAACTGTTCCTATTTATGTAGAACTTTGACATTTCTTAAAATTTCTGTCTGTTATTATGATTCATTTTTTATTTTGTTGTTCAAACGTCCTATTCTATACGATTTCAAAAAAACTAATAAAGATTTATTTTTAACAGTAGACGAGCGAATAAAAAAGCAGACGGTCAAATTTTGATTTTATAACCATAAACAAATGAACTAAATTCAAAATAAAAGTATTCTATATTCGTCTCTTTGTTTTACATTTTTGCTCAAAAACTTCACTTTTCATCTAGTTGTTGACTGATATATAGACACAAGTCGAAAATTTATTTTTGCATTTTGCAAATATATTAAACAATAACGCTCGAAAGTGCATAAATGGAAGGGAAAGCGCATTTGTAACGGTTTATATATCGTGACGAGATAAATTACAATATCAGACAGATTATTATATAGAATAGAACAACAATAATCGTATCAACACACTGAAAAGTAATGTTATTCATAGAAAAAAAACAATCACACTTTATTTTTTGTTCGTATGAAGATTTATTGTATGACCACAAGCTAATAAGAATAATTTAGATATTGTTGTTATTCTTGCTAAATTACTCTGATATAAGTATTGTTAACAAATTTGATGAAAAATTAAAATCTAATTTTTTTTTCTTTTTCTATTTTTACATTACGCTGTAGCGTGTATGTGATATGAATCAGAATATTATTTTTTTTATAGTTCGGAGTTTAGGAAACAGAGAACTATGTTGATGTAATTTTAAAATCCATAAACCATAACTTCAGAGAAAAATTTCAGTTAAAAATATTCTAAATGCAGATGTAGAATAGGATTTCTTTGAAATGTAATCTATTTAAGATTTTATCGATTTCAATGTATAAAATGTAAATATTCCAACGAAGCAAAAACCAAACAGAAAATTTCTAATCATGTTGTGAATATCGACTTGTATGGACTAAAATATCTTCAGCTTTTTATAATTGATATTCGATTGTTAAAATATCATCAAAAATTGACTATGTATATGCAATATTTCATCAAGATCGATTACTTAAATTATACTTTGAAAAAAATTAAATCATTCAAAGACATTTTTAT